CTGTAGCTATACATGAAGAGAAACCTAAATTTATGTGCTCGAAAATGTTTTGTTAAACTCCTTCTTTGCCTCAGTCGCAGTCATATTCTTTTATTTTCTTGTGTTTTACCACTTGGATTCATTCCACTTTACTTCATCTTCGCTGTCTTTACTGTTAATCATCATCGTGCTATTAATTTTTAGACAACACTTGACCTACTATTTTTAAAATCTTAACAACATTTCATTTATCTTATATTTTCTTAAAGTTTTTTAATCCATCCACTCTGAATACATCACTTTAATTATCTTTATTATAGCATATGTGCAATATTGACTAAGCAATTTCTACTGCCACTTAATGCCTCCTTTTTCCGTAATATAAATACGACTGTACAGCTTGAAAATGAAGTCATTGAAAAGAGATATTTCTTCGCTGAAGAAAAACTGTTTTTTTATTATGAATTAGTGAGTGTATTTCGCGAATTGTTCATTGACAAATCGATCTACAGGTATCGCAAAATACATATACTTTGCACTGAAATGTCCTTTTGCACATGTTCTCCGTATATTCTGCCGCTTTTTGTGTCTTCCTTTCATGTTTTCTATGTTGTTTCATACAAGGATCTTGCATTTTTCCTCTTGTGCATTTAATTCATTCTTCCATTATTCCATATTTTTGCAGACGGCATCACACACAATATACTACTTACAAACTCTTGTCAGTAGTACTCTTCACATCATAATAAAACTAAGAGATTCCTGTTTATTATACCTTATGTCAGGTGATGGCATGCAAGTGGAGGTGGTGTTTTACTTTTTGTCTTTTACGGATTAACTTCAGCTATCAATACTTCTTCTGTATATTGTGTAACATTAGAATTCCAAGTCAAGTGCTAAGTCGTAATCATTTTATCATATTCAGCAGATTTGTATAATGTAAAACAAGGCAAATAACAATGGTGCCATATAACATTAGTTTATTTGATATAATGCAGTGTATAGCTGGTGATCAAATCAGTTTAGTCATACTGCTTCTGAAGTGGTGACAACTAGTGGTGTGCGTCAGGGATGCCCATTATTCCCATTTCTATTCAACTTCATCATAGATTAAATAAGGTATAATTATATTTCAATAGTTTACACGCAATGATAAGTTTTGCTATTGGTAATATTTCGAGCAAAATTACTGCCCATGTTCACACCACTGTTAGAATTGTTCTATTAATTCATCATAGATGTACTGATGGACTTAACCCTAACTCACTTCAGAGACACAGGGATTGACTTGCTACCAGGGAATAATCTTGTTGACTTAGAATATGCAGACGATATAGTCCTTCTAGGCGAGGACGCTGACAAATGCAGAGTCTTCTGAACACCTTGAGCTGCAATCTACGAATGTTTGGCATGCGATTCGCTCCCGCCAAATGCAAGATGATGTTACAGGACTGGACCATACTGACTCCTAGTGTTTAGAAATAGGAGTGAAGTGGTAGAGCACGTTGATCGCTTCACTTATTTGGGAAGTACCATCAGCCCCAACGGTTGATCTCTGACGAAATCTCAGTACGGATATAGGGGGCTAGTTTCCCATATGCCAGATTACGCCGTCTCTGGTGTAGACGTGATATTCGGCTATCGGCTGAAGGGCGTATGTACTGCTCATCAGTCCGCTCCGCCCCCCTTTATGGCTGAGAGACCTGGCCATTGAGAGTGGAAGACATGAAAAGATTAGCTGTCTTTGATCACAGGCGCCTGCGTTCTATCTCCTGGGTGAAGTGGTATAGTGAGGTGAGCAATATTGAAGCTAAGCCTCGAGTACGAAGTAAGGAGGGGAAATCAATCGACGAGCCTGTGAAGCTACATCGACTGAGATGGTTAGGACATGTGTTACGTATGCCTAGTCATTGCCTTCCTCGACGGGCAATGTTAGCTGACATAGGGTCAGGCTGGAAAAGAGCTAGTGGTGGTCAAACAAAAACATGGCACCAGTCAATGAAATCCACAACAGTTTAAACCAGCTAGCCACGTAGGAAGGTGTAGACTTCCTGGTTCTCGGGTCCTCGGGACCAATGGTTGGAAACAATTGGTGATATGGCTCAAAATCGTTCTCAATGGCTGGCGCAAATGCGTCCACTCCCTGTGATTCATGATTTCCAGCGAAACTATATTGTTCTTGGTTATTACTATTCCTTTGTCTCACACCTCTGTTTACTGTCTCTATTATGCATTTCTCCTACTTTCTTCTCTGGCTTTGTGTGCTACATGGAGTGTGGCGACTGGATCTGCTGCGAATCGATGCAAAGTTCTATGTCGAAAAAGACATACTGCTTCATGATTTGCCTTATATTTGTACTTTTCTTTCTTTTCCCTTATTATTTATTACCACTTTCCATATTTTTGGTATAGGCATTGCGTCATTCAGATGGTACTTGAGCGGTGTTGAATCGATAAACAAACCTCCAGTGATGAACCTCTCTCGCCACCTAATTATATTACTCTTTAATACTTTCACCCTAACCCACCCACCCTATTTTGTAATTACATACAAGTGAGTGCAATGCAGTGGCCGAGCTTTTTTCTAGGTTACTTAACTCAGCAGGGTCAATCATCCTAGATCTAGCTAAATTTTAATGTTCCAATTAACTGATTGACTCTGGTCTACTAGTTTCAGTTATATAATTAACCTCACAGTCAGTATTATATGGTATTTGGTCGGTGGCACAGTGGTTAGGACTCTCGCCGACCATGCACATGGTCCGGGGTTCGAGCCCGCACCGAAGCACACCTGATATCTATGGTTGGCCTGCGAATTTTGGGCTACCGATATCCATGCTGAAAATTCCATACTTGTACCAAAAATACGGTGTGGAATCAAGCTGTAACCATCATTTTCACGATATTTGGTGTTACCCGCTTCAATTTACTCACAACTCTATACTCATTAAAAGTTTGAGTACTTATCCAGACTTCAATTATTATCCTAGAGTTGTATTCATAAGTCCTGATTACATTGTTTGCTGTAATTGTAGCGGCAGAATACAGAAGTATTTGGCATCAAAGTTATTTGTTTAAGTGAATTTCTGATTTTCTCATTAATTGAAAGGACAGAAATGTTCGACCTGTGTTGACTTGTATCGGCTACTAGTACGGACGCTTCGATCGATGATGTCTGAAGATTGATTATCTTGCAGTAATTCCGTGGATGATGATTAACAAGGTCGAGTCAGGGATATGCGTTTCATCCTATTTGGGATGCAGGTCTTATGAAAACGTGTTAGAGAACATCATCCAGCATAGCTGCAAAGAGAAGGCACTGGTTCAATCAGAATCGCAATAACTGTGAACACCTCGTCAATACCCGTCATAGAATCTCAACTGATTCATCATTCAGAGTCATTTACAAAGTAAACAAAAATCAACCAAAGGCTGTGTGTTTCCGACTTCTGCGGAAGCTCTCGCCATATGCATCGAAAAGCCAGAGCTATGTGTTCAAAAGAAACTAGTCCAGCCTTTACAACTACCATGGACCTAGTTCGGTATGTTCCCTTATCCTTCAGTTTTTTTTGTTTAGTTCTCTGTGTATGTAATTATCTCTGTTTGTCTTCATTTAATTCATCCCATTTTTTTAGTTGTAAAATCAGTTGTTTTAAGTTTGTTTCCATGCTCCTCCTGATCACACTTGCAATCCGTTTAGAATAACCATTTTACAATTATATTCTAATCCTGTGTAATTTTTTGTTTCTATGCCCCTTGTAATCTATATTCACACCACCTAACTTACATTTCAAGTTGAAAATTTTGATTCCAATTTGTTTCCATGCTCATTTTGTTCACACCTGCAATTCGTTCTATCCCTGCTTGTCTAAGCCTCTTGTAATTCATATCAAGTTGAAAATAATTATCACCTTTTATTCGCCTTTAAAATTATTTCTCCACTTATCAAATATTAATTTTGCATACATTGTAACTGTTTTTTAATCCTATGCAATTTTGTCTCTAAGCCGCTTGTAATCTATATTCATACCTTCAAACTTTCATATCAAGTTGAAAAATATTATCACTTTGGTTACCATGCGGAATTCAACAAATAATAATTGTATCCATGTAAACTAACCTATATAATAAATGCGATTGTACAGGTGGTTTTGAGAATGAAATCGCCGCAAAGATTACCATCTTTGCTGAACTTTTTGTTCTTTTCAATCTAATGTTCCGATGGGTATTTTCCACATTTATTTGGGATCAGTCATTTGAATGTACCTACACTCCCCTAAGTGAACGATGATGCTGTCACAGAGACTCGAAAGCAGTACTCATCTTTTCAAACATGAAAGCCACCTGTTTGTGCAATGGCCATCATTTATTATCTATTTAACTGGATTTTTGAATTTCCTATCGACTAGAAAGACGGCAGCGTTCGGTCTGTGTTGACATATATCGGCTCATAGTACAACATTTGCATCCAGAATTGCAGTGCTAGTCACACCACTCACCAAATTACTTCATGATGCCAGAGTTTTGCTCAGATTGTGACCAAAACTTGCAACCAATCAAATTCCTGCAAACCAACACTTAATCAATAATTAGTAATTGATATTCATTATTAATTTTACAATGATACATTATATATATATATATATATATATAGTGTAGAAAGAAAGGCCAATACACATGTTAACAATATTTTAAGGCACACACTTCTTATTAATTTCAGCAGCATTAGGAGCTTGTGGAGCAGGAGAAGGCCGGGTGGAGGGGTTGTTAGGGGAGACTGTGTAGCTAGGGGGAGGGGAGTTTACACGATAATTATTATGTGAAAATGATTCAAAAAGTACAAAATAAAAATAAATAAAGACTGGGCGGGGCGGGACAGGAGAAGGGGGAAATAAACAAGACGTAAAATAGGACATTAAACAAATTAGTAGTATCAGTAATATTAGTAAATGGTAATATTATTCGTATGCAATATGGAAGCCATTTGTCATGTGAATTAAAAGGGTGGCGGGTGGGGGTGCGGGTGGGACTAAAATACACAACAATTACAACAACAACAACAACAACAAAACGCCAAAAATATACTAACTAACAATTGTTTTAAAAGTTTTAAAAAGGAAACATAACTGATCACAAAACAGCTGATTGAGATCAACGTATAGTGTGTGTACTGACAGTTAGTTAGTTAGTGAATTAAATCAAAAAAAAACAAAAATTAAAAACAAATAAAAGAAAGGGATTAAACTGTTCACATGTACACACATACACACACACATCGAAATCATTTTTTTAAAACCAAAAAACAAGATGGAGATCATTGTTGTCAAAAGATCAAATAAAAGTAAACAGCTGTGAATTGCTCAGGAAAACAAAAAAGAAAAAAGAAAATAGAGGAATACAAACAACACTTTGTTCAATATCTCATCACAGATTATTATTATTTCTGAGTTGTTGGTACTGATGATAATAATAATAATTATTATTATCATCATCGAGAAAGGCTTATCTGCCTACTTTCAAAAAATATAAACTGATCACTTACTTATACACGTACATAAAAGGGTATACGAGAAAGCTTCCAAGGTTCATTCTTTCTCTCAATCTCTTTATGAGGTACGTAATCGGATTATTCATTAAGCATGTTTATATATATAATATACGTATGACTGCATGTATGAGGAGAATAAAAACTCACATACATACATACAAACACACACATATAAACAATTTCTAATAAGGCTTTTTATCATGTAAATTAGATAAAAAACAGAAAAGAAAACAAAAAGAAAGAAGCAAGAAAAAGGGTAGTGTTGGAAGGTAATTAATGAGCAGTAAAAATAATAATAATAATCTAGTCAATCACTATTCTCCTATTGTTTATATATATATTTTGTTTGAATGAATTCGAAATTCGCTCCCGCGCCAAATTTAATTTTGGTTGCTTAAGTTTGTAAAAGTATTTTGATGATTGTATATGCATATTTTTGTTGTTGTAGGAGGCATATTATGTGCAGTAGGATTTTCATTTCTCTATGTGTTTCATTTATTTATTTATTTTTACATAACCCTACTGAGATCTAGTAGGTGTGTGTGTGTGCGTGTGCGCGCGAGCGAGCGAGCGAGCGTAATATACTGCTGCAAAAAAGTGGACGAGGACGATAAAATCAGGAGAATGAATGATGTGTCAGTGAGTGCTGTAGGAATGAATGAAATGATCAAATTTTGGAAAAGGATAAAGTAAAAGGCAACACACATCTACACACACACGCACACACATTCATACTGAAAAAACAAACAAGACAAAGACAGAGTAATTAAAAAATCAATAATAATTAAAAACAAAAAAAAAGAAATGAAAGAAGACTAGTTAGTTGTCACTTCTCCGTTGTATTCTTTCTATATATGCCTTTTGATACCTTTTGATGATTAGGTGTTTACCGCCTCGGTTGTTGACAGTGATGATTCAGTTGTCGTATCAGAAATAAGTTTCTCGCCATTGTTGTCATCTTTACTACTTAACTGATTATATCGTATATATTGATGATGATGTGGATTTGTACTGTTCAGCGGAATAGCTGTAGCTATTGATTGAGGTGTTGAGCTAATTATAATACAAGGTGGAGGGATATGTGAATTGATTGTTTCCTCTGTGCTTAACCGATGTACACGTCCACTGTGTAAATTACCATTTGATGAACAAATTGATGATTTATAATATGGAGTATATGAATTATTATTATTACTATTATTATTATTGTCACTAGATGTCGTAGTATTAATCCCAGTTGTCGTAATAGTAGGCGTCATATCAGTGGTAGCAATAGCAGAATCATTGTTTAACTCCCCTCTATCAGTGATGAATTTGTCAATAAATGATATATTATTGTCTTTATTATTCATTTTTGACCTCAATGAGATTTGTTCCGCGCGGATATCATCCACGTCGTAATCATAATCATCCTCGTCATCACCACCACCGCCACCGTGTTCAGTGTTTCCACCATTTGGAGGATTGGTAGGGTGTCGATTATGACGACGATTATTATTACTATTATTATTGTTATTTAAATGAGCTAACTGTCTAGCTTTACGCTTCTTTGTCACAGATGTTACAATTTGTTTACTTCTTTTCCCCTCTGATTCATCATTACCACCACTTCCAGGAACACTAACATGTCGTCTACAACAGGGACAATAAACACTTGCAGCAGCGGCAGCAGTAGGACAATGTTGATGGTAATAATGTCGATACCGACGACGTGATAGAATAAAATGTACTAGAATAAATATTAACAATACTGTAATTATAATAAGGCATATAATAAATAAGACTAGACGAGATGGTTCTTTTGTAAATAATTCCCATAAGGATTGATGTTTTTTATTCACTTCTTCCAGAATATAACCACTTTCTCCAGCACCGATTTCATCTCCACTGAGACAAACCACTGGATATATTATAATTAAACAAAGAATAAAAAAAAATAATAAAAAATCAATAAATGATAGGAGAGATTAAAAAAGAAATGATAAGTATAATATAACCAATACTTGAATATTAATCTGATACTGGCGAGTCATAAAGAGCCCCTCAAACAAACTGCAGGCCTTCATTAACAGCTGCCTTCGTTCAGTACTCAAGTTCAGATGGCCAGAAAAGAACAGCAATAGGGATGAATCTCTGGGAGCAAACCAACCAGGGACCAATTGTGCGACAATTAGGTAGGAAGAAATAGAGGTGGATTGGCCATACTCTGAGAAAACAAACCATCAAGTGACATCACTAGACAAGCCATTGCTCGAGTGAAACCCGAAAGGGAAGCGGCGAGTTGGTCGTTAGTGTGAGGGTGACTTGGAGGAGGTCATATGAAGAGGAGATGAAAGCATGTGGGCAGACTTGGATCCAGGTGAAAACGTTGTCAGAGAACCGAACGCAATGGAGACGTGCGGCTGAATTAAAGGAAATAATATTAATCTGATACTCACTACTGACTGATCCTACTTAGGTAGGTTCTAGTGGGAAGTCGTGACCAGTGGGGTACAGCAAGTCAGGTACGAGGACAAAGACTCGCCAGCGATGACATTAGCTAATGGTCACACTATATCGGGAATTGGCAGAAGTAGGAATTCACGGGACATTAGGTGGGGTCCCAGCGGCTTGATGGTCTACGAACTTGCCTTGTAGCCGGAAGGTCATGGGTTCGAACCTCAGTGGGTGCTTACTGTGAAGAGTCTGAAGCACTAGGACGAAACATCTATCCAGTACTCCCTAGTAGTTTTCCACTGGTTCTCTAACCAATGTCAGCAAATGATGAAATCCTGTGACCAATCAAATCCCTGAGAACCAACACTTGAATATAAATATAATTAAGGTGAGTATTTGTCATATTCTTAGTTCATGGTCAGACATCACCAGTCAGACCGAGTTATTTTGTGTGTTTACTCCTTGCGTTTCGAGAGGAATGTAGGACTCCAAACTGTAAGCTTTGGAGTTTCAGTAGCACTGATGTTTATTTTTCTTACGGGTTGGGATTACTAGTCTCATATCCAACCCTCCCTGTTTAACGGCCTTAAATAGGGGCTAACTGAAGTTGGGCAGTGCATTCGCCGGCGATCGAACCCTGGATAAAGTGAGGTATGGTTTGCGAGTGTATTAAACCACTGCCGCACATCAAGCTCAAGTGGTTGACCAGTATCCAGGTGGTTTGAACAATTTCACTTTCTCGACTATATCACTCCAGATATAATATTAGTGAGTCCAATCATAGAGGAGTGAAGCATTCATCTCAGCTGGCACGGTAGACTTCCAACTTCTCCCGGCCTAGTAGACTATGAGTGAACACCAACTTAATGCACCGGCTAATCTGTCCTAATTTCATGTCAACAACACCAACGACAATAACACCGCCGGCACGCAAAGACAAAAGAAAACACTGAACCCCATTATGAGTGCCTATACTATCTTAAATAACAGTCAAAATGCTAGACAGAAACTCTGTATATATACAGTCAGAATGACCTGAAAATGCAGTAATTCAGTGTTGCATTAAAGGTACTAACAGCCAATAGGAATCCAGCAATCCAAACAGAGGGTAAAACAAAGGGCTCACATCAATGCGCGATAACACCTTGAAATAGTCATTGTAAGGTTTTAGGCAAAACTAGGTGTATATAAAAGTTATTCACTTGGAAGAAGTCAAGGTTGGCCGTAGGGATTTTCACCTTGAACTGTCTGTAGGTAGTATATAGTGCGTGATTTTTGCTGACATGGTTTTGACCCTCCACCATCTTGCTGGAAATATTCTACTTGGTTCTCAGTACTTGTTTTGTACTGAAAAATCAACTAATTTATATAGCTGTCTAAGGGGATTGTTGAATAACGCGGATTTTATTGCAAATAACTGTCGTTAGGATATTTTAGAACTGTGAACAACTCAAAGAAGTTTGGATTAACTGTACAGTAAAAGCAAAGATTGGTTTCCCATGGTTCAGACCATAACACGTCGGTTTCGGTCGCTACAATAATTTTTTCAAAAACTTCAAGTTTCATCATTACTCTGTTTGATAATATTAATTGGGATTAAAGTTGAGCAGTGTTTTTGGTGGCCGGTGATTACCAAAGGAATCCAGGCTGCACTTTTCTTCTTATTTAAAATTCGTCAGCTGGATGTGCCTGTAGTCTCCATCCACTAAATAACATCGTCATAATCCTTAGAGATTATCGAAGCATCCGTAGTAGGAGCTGATATGTCAAGAGAGACGGAAAATTCCTTTTCAGTATAGTCTATGATCAACAAGCTCGCCTCGTAACCTAAAGGTCTTGAATTCGATCTCTGGTGGGGTCTTGCGTACCTACTGAGGAGAGTCCTAAACTAGGACGGAACATCTGTCCAGTACACCCTGGTTTTCAATTCTCTGAAAAGAGTTTCTTCATTAAACTACTTATTTTTTCGATGATACCTGAATGGGGATTACTAATGAAATTCAAAGACTGACAATCCAATCCAATCCAATACAAAACTTACATTTATCAGCAACACAGAACATGCATTGTCTAGGATCACGACTAGTTAAGGCTAATCGATAAGGACAGCATACAAGACATTGTCCAGAATTTGGTTCTACACTCAACTGATCAGGTGGCCATATAGCTAAGTCTTTAGAAGTTCTATGCAATTTTGAAACACGTTGATTTGTTAATAAACATCGAGGAACTGGTGGCTTTCGATTACAACTAGTACATTGGTATGAACGAGGACCAGAGCAAGTTCGACAATTGGGATCACATGGACGACATATCTGTAGACAAAAAAAAGGTGGGAGAAACAGTCAGAAAAATGGGCCTTAATTAGTTGAATAATAATAATAATAATAATAATAATAATAATATAATACATATATTTATTCCTGTCTTTGCAGGAATGCACCAATTGTACAGGCATGGATAAATGTTATTTAAACTACATAAATTTGTTTTATGGTGAATTTACATGGTCGCTGTTCTTTTTGACTTTAGTTTGTGTGGGAACAATCTGCTAACTAGTCATTCAATGGAGCACATTAATATATATATAGAAATATTATCTTCGCACTAATAAAAAAAAACCCAAGTCTGTGTTGGATGAATTACAAATACTTGGGGAAAAAAAGACAAAGCTTGGAGTCGATTCTTCCGCATAAATTTGCTGTTTACAGCATTGAATCTTATTCTCGATTTATAGTCATAACAGTGTATTAGCTTAAAATGATTAATATATTTGTATTATTTTGTCAGCTGTGTTATTGTCGGATGACATCAGAAGTGAATTGTACTCCACACAGACGAATATTGGCCATAGTTAGGCAGATTTGTTTTACTGCACCGAGGTCAGCAGCCATTTATAGATAGATGCATGGTGTAATAGAAAAGAATTGTAACTCAGGTGGATGATTTGCAATTAATAGTGTTCTGTGAGTTGGTTGGTTTAGTTGCGGAGCTTTCATCGTCTGTTCTGTATCTGTAAGTTGATTAAGATGAATAAGACTACTGGACAAAAATTACATTATGAAACTGAATATATCTAAGCTTAAAATTAAACCAAGATGGGAGAAAAGTTTTGCTTTAAAGATGAGTGACATTTTATAAACAAAGTGAAGTATATGTTTAGTTTTTAGCTGTTCAAAAGTAGAGATCATTAATAGAAAACTACAAAGTTGCATTTGACTAATCTTTATACATAAACAATTCGAGTAATGGTCTTAATGGTGTACGAGCTCACCTTGTAACCAGAAGGTCCTGGGTTCGAACCCCATTGATGGGTGAGTATTGATGAAGAGTCCCAAACTAGGACAAAATAGCTGTCCAGTATTCCAAGCTGGTTTTCCAACGGTTCTCTAACTGATGTCAGTCAGCTTATGATGAAATCTTCCAATCAGTCAAACACAATCTCTGGAAAACCAATAATGTAACGGGTCTTCCCCATTTCATCAATTCATTCGCCTTGCTTATATATATATATATATTGTATGTCTAATCTCGATATTACTTTATTCAGTTGAAATCTATAAACCACACTCTTAGAATATAACAACTAATAACTTCAACAAAGGGTGATTATGCAAGTCGAGAGAAGAATATATTTAGCTATGTGGTACGTATTGAATTGTTATGACGAAGGAAACGACGGCCTGTTTAAAACTTAGGCTACCGAGAACCTTCATCAGTATATTGCATATAATTCCTCTGATTCAATATGTTTAAATCTAGTTGAAAAGATGACCTCTAACAGTATTGATTATTAACTTTGACGAGTATTTAAATCATTTACAACCTGCTGATTCGTAAGTTTCTACTAAATTTGAGAAAGAGCATTAATCCAACTTGGATGGCAGCTTATCCCAGTACATGAGATTAACTGTTCCTGAGTTGTGTCCTCGGTTCACAAAATGTACTCCTGAACTTATTATAATCGACTCTGAACCAAATGTTATGCATCTGTCGAAGGAGACAAAGAAGACAGATCATAATGGAATGATTTGTGCTTCAGGTCAGATGGCACTGTGTCACACAATCTACTGTCAATTCATAATTTATTTGAAGATCACAGACGAGTAGAAAATATCATACAATGAACTCCGCTGAAAATGTTTGTACATTATTATAAACACTGTTCAAAATAATAAAGCTGCAGCTACTATTATTATTGCGAAAATATTCATTCAGACATCTATAAAACACAAAAGAATCGAGCAAAGAATATCCTTTTTTGATAATTTCTTCTTCTAGCTCTACAAATATATATATATATATATATATGTTTATATACATAGAATATTGTAGAATAGTAGTCAATAACAATATTAGTGTTTTTTAAATACTACCGATTTGTTAAGTAAGATCAAAGGAATTACAGTTCACTAAAGATTCTTAAATAATCATAATAATATAATAGCAAATAGAGTATTACATAAAATCAAGGAAATTTCCACAACAAACTGAGGATCATTCGAACCTAGATGGCCAAGGTAAAGACAATGTTTGAACTAGCTCCTTCTTAACGTGGGTCCCAACCGCCTCAGCAATATTTAGTAATCGAACACTTAAGGCGAAGTTAAGATTTGTTGATATGGTGTAAATGACTCTGAAAGCCTTGTTGACATCACTTTTGTGTTCTGTATCCACAAGATGAGATAGAATAGCGCTAAGAATAGATTTTGGTTGTCCTTTACTTAACCACACTGGGTGATGTTCGGAAATCCGACGAGAAACACGCCTAACTGTACGGCCTATGTAACTAGCTCCACAGGAACAGTTGAATTGGTAGATACACATGGAAGAGGCAGAATTAAGCAGTTTGTTTTTTACTCCCGAACACAAAATAGGAGTGGGTGGTTTTGAAGATACAGTGTAATTCAGCAGCAGGGAGTGCTTTTTTGTACCGCATTCCTAAGGTGTTGTGTTAGTATCTCGCTAATGTTTTCCCCGAGGAACTGAATTTGTAAGAATAAGGCCTTTCATTATTATTATTATAACATGATTCATTGTAACGAAAGGAAAATAAAGACATGAACGCATGCATACTGAGGTGTTGTACTTACGCCTTTATCTTCATCAAAGTATTCAGAGAAACGACATACAGTACGCAATAGACAATGATTAGATTTTTTGTCTAAATAAAAGCCTGTTTGACATGCATTACAGTGTGATATATCTATAAAGATATAAAAAAAAGAAAAAAAGCAGAATAGGTATAAATAATTAAATTATCGAAAATATGATGTAATGTGCTGCTTAGGGAACATTAAACAATTTCATAAAAGTCTAAATTGAATTAAATAATAACTGATGGCTGTTGCATAAACAGGCGGCTCTCGTGGATCAAGCGGTCAAGTGGATGACACGCCGGCGTTTGAAATGATGGGTACTGGATTCGAAACTCAGTGGGAACACTATCATTCACTCACTGGGGAATGCAGGTACATCCAGATGACGAGTCCCAAGTAGGACGAAGTGCGCATTCTTGATTCAAATGTTAGTCACCATACACCAAACTAGTTTCGTACTGTATGTTTTTGCGGACATCCCGGTGGGTGCGTACTGTTGGAGAGTACCCCCAGGTTTTTTCTAATGGTTCTCTAACCAACGTCAGCTAATGATGAAATCCTTCAATCAAATAATAATAATAATGAAAGCAGCTTTGTTCTAAACAGCCTATTTTTATAGAGTACAGAGTTTTTAGCTTGGTTTCATCCACTCCCTAGACAGAATTTTTAAGTAAATCAGTAATTCACAGTATACAACATGCCGACGTATTCACCCTTCAAAACTAACCTAGAGGTATGTCGAAAGTCATTCAAAAATGTACGTGAGTACAGATCGCTCTTCAAGAACTTAAATAGGTGGTTAAAACAATGTATAGCTAAGTAAATTTGACGTTTTGTGCTCTTTGAAAAATTAAGTGGCCCAATGATGATTTAAGCAGACCACCATTACATAATAAATTCTCTCGATTTAATTGCTGAATAACAGCTGAATAGGTGAAATAAGACTCAAATTAATAAAGCACTAATTAAGTAATTTTTACGAGTCAATACTTTAATATTGTTTAAAGGTTATCTACTGATTTTTCACTCTTCATTAAACCACAATTCAGGAATTGGTAGGGCATTTTAGATGAATTTGCACAAAAGTGCATTTGCATAACAGAATCATATGAATTAGATAATTATTCAAAAAGATACGGTTTTTTCTAAATTACTTATCTTCTCGGGTCAACCATTCTTACTTTAGCTAAATTCTTATGCTCTGACAATCTGACTACCCCTGACCTACTAGTTTGACCTATGTAGTTGACCTCACAGTCATTGCATGGTATTTTGTAAATAATATTATTTTGTCTAATTGGGTCAACTGGGTCCTTTAACCTACAGAGCTTGTCCCTGAGTGAGTTTGTAGGTTTAAATGCCACCCTAATTCCTATTTTATTCAGAATCCTACGTAGTGTCTCAGATGTCCCTCTTTATATGGTATAACTGTGGATGACTTATATTCTTTCTTATTTATGTTATTATTACTAGTTTCACAATTATTTTTATTTTGTTTTTGGCCTTTAGTGATCTTCCTAATGAATTTTAAAGAATAGTTAGTTATTTAACACCAACGCCTCTTCCATCTGTTTCATTTCATCATTTAGGTCTTTGGTTTGTGCTATTTAGTGCCACTGCTCGGTTTGTTAAACATTTAACTAAGCCTGCCTTAACAGTTAAAGGATGAGACGAATTAAAGTCTAAATATCTATTAGAATGCGTCGGTTTTCTATAAACACTAGTGTGTAGTTTGCCTTCTTCTATTCTTTTTATCTTACAATCTAACATAGCTAATTCTCCTTGTTCATTTTCTGATTCAAATGTGAATTTTATTCCCTCAACTTGTGAGTTTATATGTGTCAAGAAGCTAGAGATATTTAGACTTTAATTCGTCTCATCCTTTAACTGTTAAGGCAGGCTTAGTTAAATGTTTAACAAACCGAGCAGTGGCACTAAGTAGCACAAAAAAAGATCTAAATGATGAATTAAAACAGATAGAAGAAGCGTTGGTGTTGAATAACTATCCTATAAAATTCATTAGGAAGATCACTAAAGGCCAAAAACAAAATAAAAATAATTGTGAAACTAGTAATAATAACATAAATAAGAAAGAATATAAGTCATCCACAGTTATACCATATAAAGAGGGGACATCTGAGACACTACGTAGGATTCTGAATAAAATAGGAATTAGGGTGGCATTTAAACCTACAAACTCACTCAGGGACAAGCTCTGTAGGTTAAAGGACCCAGTTGACCCAATTAGACAAAATAATATTATTTACAAAATACCATGCAATGACTGTGAGGTCAACTACATAGGTCAAACTAGTAGGTCAGGGGTAGTCAGATTGTCAGAGCATAAGAATTTAGCTAAAGTAAGAATGGTTGACCCCGAGAAGATAAGTAATTTAGAAAAAAGCTCAGCAATTGCAATGCATGCGCTAACACACAACCACACAATAGGGTGGGAGAGAGTTAAAATTCTAAAAAGTAATCTAGGTAGGTGGAGAGAGAGGTTGATTACTGAATCCTTGTTCATCGAGTCTACACCCAACACATGCAATAGGAATGACTCGTCACTCATACCTGAAATATGGAAAATACTACTACCAATCAAATCAAGTGAAAGTCAAGAGAAAAACAATGGAACTATATAGTTATTCATTCTCACCCTATTTCAAATAGCCCTGATTTCAGTATGATACACCACTTTCTCCCTAACATCTATACAACCATTAGTCTGGAATTAATACTCAAAACTCCAATACTTCATGTGGCGGCTTACTAATGTTCTGGAGGCGTTAGATGGAAAGTGGGATACAATTGAAATTAGGAAACTAATCATTTCGACATGTCATTCTTTATGGCTGTGAGATATGGCTGTCAGAAATGGAAGACTTAAAGAGGCTAGCCGGTCTTGAACCATAAAGGTTTAGGCTCTACGCCTCAGCTATCATTATTATTATTCTCTTGGGTTCCAAGGGGAACATAGGGCTTCAACAGGACATCTTTATTTTGTTCTGTTCCTCACATTCCTCTTCAACTGGCCCTTTCTCTCCTCACACGATCTCCTCCATGTCACCCTCATACACACACCCAGCTCGTCGTTCCCCATTGGGGTTTGACTCGACGGGCTGGCGTGAGATGTCACCCAACGGCCTCTTCAGTATATGTCCGATCCATCTCCTTCTACATATTTTTTGAACAATAGGTTCTTGGTTGGCTCAGTCCCAGAGTTTCTTGTTGGCTAATTCATTCTTGCCCGCCATCCGGTCTTCAGCATAGAGCCAATGAAACCGGGTGTCGATAAAAGCCTGCAGTGGTCTATTGGAAATATTTTTCGTGATGTGCCATATTTCTGACTCATACATAGAAGAACTGACTAACTTAACATCTGTGTTGAAAATCTGAAACTTGTCCTTTATAATACGGAGTGCAGAAGATTCCCAAACTGATCTCAGAGTAATAAAAGTCTTTCTTGCCTTTCCGATTCTGGTTTTGACATTTTCATCTGCGCTGGCACGTATTAACCAACAAATATGTACGAAGTGAGGATGTAGTCGATATACACTCAGGAGTCAGACCTCCAAGGAACACCATACACCAGGTAGGCCATCGAGTGGAGCTCGAGTGGGAAGAGACAGGTTGGGCGCGGACGTGAGAAGTGTGACATGGAGAAGACCATGTGAAGGCAAAATCAAAGCTTGTAGGTGGCAGTGGCGGTGCCAACTAATACAGACTTCAGAGAACACTTTACAATGATGATGTGCTACTGAAACTCCATACTGTATTCATATCATAGTGACAATTACTTTTCCGGACTGACTGACTGGTTTCAACATAGAACTTTGCACACATATGGGGCATTTCGAATCGCCACACTTCACCCAACACATAAAAGCCAAAGAAGAAGAAGAAAGTGAAAAGAAACGCAAAATAGAGACAGTAGACAGGGATATGAGGCAAAAGGAATAGTCATATCAAGGAACAATATAGTTTCATTGGAAATCATAAGTCACAAGGTGTGGATGCATCTGATACAGCGACTGAGAACGATTTTGAACCATATCACCAGTTGTCTCCAGCCATTGGTGTTTACCGTCCCGAGGACCCCAACCAGGAAGTCTACACCTACCTACGTGGTTGGCTTAAACTAACTGTTGTGGATTTCACTGACTGATGAAGCCATGTTTTGGTTTGACCACCAATGGTTCTTTTACAACCTGATCCTTTGTCAGCTAAGATTGCCTGTCGGTCGAGGAAGGCGACGCCTAGGCACACGCAACACATATCCTAACCATCTCAATTGAGGAGGACTGGTCTGTCCCTTCCTGTTCTATAGTTATGTTAGCTCATCTATTCCAATAACTGAGTCTTTTTTTATCTGTCACTCTACATGTGTAGGTAAATTTCTAGTGCACTCATATACACTAACTGCCATGGTCAACTAGTTGGACCTGTGTACTTGACCTTCACATATACTTCACGTGAAAAAATCACTACGGTAATTAAAACCCACCCTAAATTATATATATATATATATAAGTTCGTGTGCGTCGGTGGCGTAGCGGTTAGGACGTTCGCCGACCATGCACATGGCCCGGGATTCGATCCCCGGCCGATGCACTCCTTTACCTCGCTAAGCCAGGAATAATGCTGGTAAAGACAAAAGGTTGGGCATGAGGCTACCAACCCCATCCTGTAAAAATAAACACTGCTGCAGAAATTTCAAACCACTAGCTTGAAGCCCTATATTCCACTGAGAAACGTGAAGGAAAAAAAATATACGTTCACAGTTTATTCAGACATCGATTCACATAAACAACTATCGTAATATGTTGTTTATCCTTAAACAGGGGAAGAAATTGTGCTATTTATTGACCTAATTAAAAAAAAACGAGTTGTGTCAACTAGTCAAAAGGAAGAAAAAGAAGACGAAAACACGATTTCTTAAAACTTAGAAAAATGAATTCATCTACTTTTATTTCTGGGGAATAATGCACCTTAAAAGATAAAAGGAAGAAATGCAAACACAATGGAAGGAATGAAGGAAATAAAACCATACATCTCAACTAGAACATAAACAATAGTCAGGCGCAAAATAAAGCGAATATTAGAAGAT